TAGTTTTGACTGACATGGCACAATGTCAGGATATCTGTTGCTGTAACCCACTCCAAGCCCCTTGGGAATTCGCCAGTGAATGTGGTCTTAGACAGTCCGTGAACCAACGGACAATGTATGGGGATGGAATCGTTAGGAACTGTAATGCACGCACGCTTGGCCATTAATCAACGTGTGCTAAATTACTGGGTATAAAGTGAGTTAGACAGATTACTGTTCTTGTCAGAAAACGGATCTGGTAATGAGGGAATTGGCATCAAATGCATCTCTCTTGGGGAATGTGATCATGCACAACAGGTGAAGTGATGATGTCGGCAAATTACAGGTTCCTGTTGGCCAGAAATAAAACTGAGTTTCTTGTTGTTGTTGTTGCTGTTGTTGCTTTTGTTATTTGTTGTTGTTGTTTTACTTATTCTTTTTCTTCTTCTTATTATTATTATTTTTTTTTATCCTCTTCCTCATTATCCCCCTGCCTCTCTTCTTCTTTGTCTTCTCCTATTCATCCGTCTTCTTCACCTCCTCATCTTACTCCTGCTTCTTCTCATCCTCCTTCTCCTCCTCCTAATTCTCCTTCTCCTCCTGCTCCCATCACTTCGCCTCCACTTACAGACATACATCCAGGTAGGAGTGGATATCAGCGTCTAAAGCGCCCAGTTCTCACATTCTCCTGTGTCCTGACGCTTGATAGGAATTGTCGGGAGCAGAATCCAGCTGCTGTCAGTGCCGAGGTATGCGCGCTTATCAGTAGCAAGTCAGATGAGACAGAGTGGTGATCTTCACAGACGGGTCCGTTATACGAGGACATAAGAGTGCATAGGCATTTACAGCTCGCTCTCCAGAATTAACAGTTCAAGAAGCCAGCGGTGCCTTCTCCATGACAACTAGCAACATGACAATGGAGGTGATGACGGTGACACAAACTTTCATGTGGCTGGGATCACAGGACTATTCCCGCGTGCGTGTATGCTGTGTGATTCTTTGAGCATGATCCGGCGGGTCGAGGCAGGCTGGTTACGCAGACAGTGGTTTGAGTCGTTGCAAAATTCTCCTGTGTGTGCAGTAACTTTCATATTCGTCCCAGGGTATGCAGGCGTTGTTGTTAATAAGAGAGCTGATAGACTGGCAGTTGCTGCACTAAGTGAAGATGGCCGCCCCATGGATCACACCGACATTGTCATTGCCCTTAGAGAGATAGGACGTTCTGAGAATTTTGGAAGCAACGTGTCCACATCACTCTGCTAAGAATACGCTAATTGGGAGTAAAGATCGGCACAGCCAAGCATGAGAAGCACACTGGACACACACGAAGTCTTGTTAACCAACATAGGACTGGCACTATTAGCAGTGCGACGCTGATGAATATGTTGAGAGGGGAATCTGAGAGCCTATAGATGTGTCCGGAGTGCTGTGAAAATGGTTTAACTCATAACTCATAACTCACAACTTCTCCTCAGCAACCTGTTCTTCTCCTTCTTCTCATCCTCTTTCTCATTCTACTCCTTCCACACTCCGCCCCCTCCTCCTCTTTCTGATGCTGCAATACAAACCAGCGCTAATTAGAACAGAAACATTCAAAGTACTAACTACACATAAATATTTAAGTAAGAACATAAACAAACATAGAAAGAACAATATTAAATAGAAAATTCAAAGCACAAAATACAAACAGAAACATTTTAGAATACATACAAAGAAAAAATAGCCATCAAGAAGGACATCTAAGGAAAAACCAATAACCATTTTGGGACCAGAAGAACATTTAAACCTTGGGGCCAGAAAAACATATAAATCGCATAGTCGATACTGCGGTAAAAAGCAGTCGATCAAACACATCTAAGCCCGTTTCTAGGGAAGAGATTAAAATGTAATAACTCTTGGACACTTTCACAGAATGCGATTAAAATGTACTATCTTAAAGCTCCTGTCTACAGCATTAGTCTCGAACATAGAAATAGTCAATTCAACACAGTGGTTTTCAAACATGGAGAACATGCCCACTAGAATGGATTCGGGGTGTGGGGGGGGGGGGAAGGGGGATGGTTGTGTAAGGAGGTTTCGATGGGAGCGTCGGACAATGTTGATATCGTGCTAAGAAGTTTAACTCTAAATAAAATATTTACTTTCATAGAAGCAAATCAATGCTCCCAGATTGATATGGAGTGATCTCCCTTGTACCTTATCCAACATCAGACAAAATAATGGCACCCGCCAATGCCAAGGGATTATGGAGATGTGCCACTGGATATGGGCGCCGCATCTGCCATGACCTCTCCAGGACATAGGCCTGGTCGTTTTCATTTAGAGTACAGAATGTTGCCCAGGCAGCAGGTACTCCCCTTTCTCTATGCCGGTGATACCAAGAGAAAGGCATAAGCTAATACAACTTGGACCCGAGGACGTTGCATGAGCTGCGGGAATGGCACTGTAAACAATGCTGAAAACTCCTAAAGGATTCCAGCTCCAGATTTTTCCACAGTTTACTTCAGAAGGACTTTCCAAGGTAGGGTGTGGTCACAAGGCAGTGGAGGGTTGAAATCATGGTTTCCCTTCTCCTAAATAAGCTGTACTCCCGTGCTGACGACCCTCGTCTTCTCGAAGATTCTTTTTAAGGCGCCAGAGATCCGCTTTCGCCCTTTTTCCTGTTTTTTGAACATCTCTGTCACAAAAAGACCAGGATTGTGAGTTTTGCATTCAGCGGCTTTGGGAAAACGGACGCCTTGAGGGTATTTCATGGAGAACAAACAGTATTTGGAGACAAACATCAGACCAAAACATAACAGCTATCACCAAGAAAGACAGTGTGAACCATCATATTGATGTTTGTACGCCAATTGACCAGTTAGTTGTTGGAGATTGCTTACTTTATGTTAATAGAGACACTGATGTTTGGACGTCAACTGACCAGCTGTTGGTGATTGCTTTCTTTATGCTAATGGACACATTGATGTTTGGACGCCAACTGACCAGTTGCTGGTGATTGATTATTTTATGTTATGGACACATTGATGTTTGGACGTCAACTGACCAGTTGTTGGTGATTGAGTTTTCTTATGTTATTAGACACATTGATGTTTGGACGCCAACTGACCAGTTGTTGGTGATTGATTCTTTTATGTTATTGGACACACTAATGTTTGGACGTCAACTGACCAGTTGTTGGTGATTGATTCTGATATGTTGTTGGACGCATTGAATTATGTGTATTTTGTCGCCAAATTCCTGTTAGCAGTGCTCGGCATTTTGTTTCTATGCCTGCACCTCTGTTTTTCTAATCACATGTTTAGTTTAACTGGTTTGATGGACGTGTTGGAAATTGGTTGGATGGCGTTGGGGGGGGGGGGTGGGAGGGGGATGAGCTAGAGGGCTCTGGCCATATATTCAAAGGGATCATCGCCCCCCCCACCCCCCCCCCCCCCCCCCCCAAAAAAAAAGAAACACCACGGCTTGAACAGACTTAGTCGAAAATTTACATTGACTTCACTTTCCACCTGAAAAGTTTAAATTTCATACTCTGAGTAATTTTGGAAAAACAAATTCAGACTGCAAACTCATTGAGATTTATTTTACGGAAGCAGTTTGAACTTTTTAAACTTGAAATCACTTTTAGATAAATCTGTCAATTGAACACATTATGAGTCACGTGCTACACACAATATGATTCATGTTCTACATACATTATGAGTCACGTGCTACACACATTATGAATCACGCGCTACACAAATTGTGAATCACGTGCTACACACATCATGAGTAACGTGCTACACACATTATGAGTCACGTGCTACACACATTATGAGTCACGTGCTACACACATTATGAGTCACGTGCTACATACATTATGAATCACGTGCTACACACATTATGAATCCAGTCCTACATACATTATGAGTCACGTGCTACACACATTATGAATCACGTGCTACACACATTATGAGTCACGTGCTACACACATTATGAGTCACGTCCTACACACATTATGAGTCAAGTGCTACACACATTATGAATCACATGCTACACACATTTGAGAAACTACCAGTAGAGGTAGCTTATTGTGGTGGCTACTGCAGTGGAGGCTAATCGTGCAAGCTAAGCATGGAAAAGCATAGATGTGCAGTAATGTCGATCCCATATGTGCCGTAGTGTCGATCCCATATGTGCCGTATTGTCGATCCCATATATGCAGTAATGCCGATCCCATATGTGCAGTAATGCCGATCCCACATGTGCAACAAAGTCGTTCCCATATTTGCAGTAATGTCGATCTCATATGTGCAGTAATGTCGTTCCCACATTTGCAGTAATGTCGGTCCCATCTGTGCAGTAATGTCGGTCCCATATGTGCAGTAATGTCGATCCCAGATGTGCAGTAATGTCGATATAATGTCTGCAGTAATGTTGATCCAACATGTGCAACAATGTCGATCTAATATGTGCCGTAGTGTCGATCCTATATGTGCAGTAATGCAGAATCCACATGTGCAACAATGCCGTTCCCATATTTGCAGTAATTTCGACCCCATTTGAGCAGTAATGCCGATCTCATAAATGCAGTAATGTCGATCCCATATGTGCAACAATGTCGATCCCATATGTGCAACAATGTCGATCCTATATGTGCAGTAATGTCGTCTGTGATAACATATCGTAACCTCTAAAACAATAACAACACTGAGACGTTATTTTATTACAGAGCGTGCACGGATACTTTGCGCTGGTGGTCTGTGTCTTTGGCATTATTTCCAACATCCTCAACATCATCGTGCTGACCAGGAAACACATGCATTCACCGGTCAACTTTATACTGACCGCCCTGGCGATCGCCGACATCTTGACCATGTCACCGTATCCGGCCATGGCTGTTTATTTGTACATACTCAACAAGTAAGTCTGGTTTTTATGAATGTTGCTCATTTACGTATGTGATGACGAGAAACATGTTAGAGAACCTAGTAACAAATGGAAAGATGAGTAACAGCAAAGGTAGAGCAGATAGAGAAAACTGATTGGTATAAGCAAACTGTACAGATATCCCTTTTCATTTGCTTTAGTGGATTCCAGGCCTCTGCAATATTGAGAGAAATTAAAAAGTAGATAGCTTAGCATCAATTAGAAGTCATACAGAAAAGCCAGAAAAAGATGAACCGATAAGTAAAATATAACGCAGAGCGAGGTAGGCATTGGAATCCACGTCCCATCCATGACACAATCCTGAAGAACCAATCAACCTTCTCATGCGAGAGAAACAAATCATCTGCAGCCATAGGAACATGACAGTCATGATTGTGGACTTGAGAACTTTGCAAAACTTTCTGCATACAGGTAAGAATTATGTTTCCGTGACTTGCATGAGGCTGATGCTAAAGATGATCATCTGAGACAAAAAAAAACGCCGATGAAAGGCGTGCAGTTTGATGGTTCGAAAAGTTCCCGTATCTCAGTGAACTGTAGCATCTTGACTATTTGCTTGGAATCACTATATATGTATATATGTGTATATGTGTATATGTGTATATGTATATATGTGTGTATATATATATATATATATATATATATATATATATATATATATATATATATATATATACACATACACATACATACACAAACAGACGCACATATCACTAACAGACACACATACCACAAAAAAGCAAGTTGCGTGTTAAATTTCAACATACATTGAACCGTTACTGAGGTACAGATTTTTATAAGTTGGTCACGATTTCTGAAACAGACTATTCACGACAAGCATTCGTGGCAAAGTAGTGGTCAGTTGGAACTGCCAATTACTGCTTTTATTATACCATTTTTGCGGGTAGCGGCGGGGGGGGGGGGGGGGAGGGTTGAGCGTAAGGAATTACGGTCGCATGGCAAGTGCTGTCGCCACGATTGTGCAGGTGAGGATTCTATTTTGTCCCTGACAGAAAAAAAAAAAAAATACCAAGCCTTAACGAGGATTCGAAGCAGGGTCTTCCGCTTGAGAGCCATGAGTTCCAGCCGCTCCTCAAAGTGGGAACTGACTGACTGAAGACTAAACATCCAAGGATTATTTCCCACCTTCCTACCATTTCCTTTTCCATGTTCTAATTGTTTCTGTTATTGCCATACCAGATTTTTGACAGCTTGTCAAAGCAATATCGCATTAATATCCTCCAAAATAGAACAACATTCCTCACAAAATATGTGAATGATAAACAATGACGGTTTTTTTTTTTTTTTCATAATATCCTACCCACAGACGACGTCACGGGACAGTCCAACATTTTAGAGGGCGGTAAGACTGGGTTTCCCGGCCTTCTGATGATTTTATCGACCCCAAAACATCTAGAACTGGCCATAACCCCAACCCACTTACGCCCCCCCCCCCCCCCGAGAAAGTGCAGCCTAGGTCGTGCGACTGCATGCAACCTATCTACCACCCCCTGAAATATTAAACTGTCCCGTGACCTGTGAATTTCCCAGGTTTGGGGATAGGAAGCCGTTTTATAAACTTCCCTGATGCACTCAGAAACTTCAATTAAGGAGCCGAAAGAATAGAACTGCGCTCCATTGCAAGCATTTCCTTAAAGGCTACTAAGCAGAAGTTTTCGGACACCGTCTGTATCGGGCCTGAAAGCGCAGATATCACGCCCAGCTGTAAATCACAAATAATTTATTAACTAAATTCTCAGGGGGGACGTAGAAGGACAGGAAACTGTGGCGATGTAGTTGCTAGGCGATCCCCTGCTGGCCTGAAGGTCGTGGGTCAATTCTCATTGAGTCAGGAAGAAGAAGAAGATATACCAATATTTTTTCTTTATTTGCTTTATATATATATGTATATATCTTTGTTCCGTAGGCTTAAGAGTAGATGGTTGTAAGTCACATAGATTGTAAGTCACTTAGGTTGTAAGCCCCTTAGGCTGTAAGTCACATAGGTTGTAAGTCACTGAGGTTGTAAGTCACTGAGGTTGCAAGTCACTTGAGGTTGTAAATCACTGAGTTTGTAAGTCACTTAGGTTGTAAGTCACACAGGTTGTAAGTCACATAGGTTGTAAGTCACTGAGGTTGTAAGTCACTGAAGTTGTAAGTCACATAGCTGGTAAGTCAATGAGGTTGTAAGTCACTAAGGTTGTAAGTCACATAGGTTGTAAGTCACTTAGGTTGTAAGTCACACAGGTTGTGAGTCACACAGGTTGTATGTCACTTAGGTTGTAAGTCACACAGGTTGTAAGTCATACAGGTTGTAAATCACTTAGGTTGTAAGTCACACAGGTTGTAAGTCACATAGGTTGTAAATCAGACAGGTTGTAAGTCACTTAGGTTGTAAGTCACACAGGTTGTAAGTCACTTAGGTTGTAAGTCACATAGGTTGTAAGTCACACAGGTTGTAAGTCACTTAGGTTGTAAGTCACACAGGTTGTAAGTCACTGAGGTTGTAATTCACATAGGTTGTAAGTCACTAAGGTTGTAAGTCACTGAGGTTGTAAGTCACATATGTTGTAAGTCACTTAGTTTGTAAGTCACACAGGTTGTAAGTCACCTAAGTTGTGTGTGACACAGGTTGTAATTCAGGAGAATGGGTAATCGTCGATACCAGAGGTTGTTTAGATATTTTAGATATTTCTCTCAATTCGTTTCCTGCTTTTAATTCGGGTGTGGGTGTTAGGGTCTCCCCCTCCCCCACCAACAACAAAACGGCCGAGCCCGTCAATCATTATGCGGGAGCCTTGAACCCTACAAGAATTCAGAACTCAGCTAAGTACACCCCATGCTTACGTAGAGATGTTCTCTTGTTAAGTACAGCAAAACTTCGATTAACTGTCAACGTCTGGACCAGGGCTGTGACAGATAAACGAATAGACAGGTAACAGAAATCCGTTCAGACATACATACAGAAAGAAAATTTCACTGCATGTTTGGGTGCGAATATGAAATGAAAATCTGTTGAAAGTAATTAATTTATTTAAAATGTATTTAATGTTAAAAAAAAAAAACAATCAAAATAAACTTCAATATAAGAGTAGTAATGCACATACATGTTTTGTAATAATATAAAACTAGGTTACGTTAAAAAAATCTGTCAGCCCCTTCTGTGTCTTTAAAGCTCCTGCTTTCTGTGCGGCCAAGTTCAGTAACTCACGTACATGTGAGATTTGTGCTGTATTTGTCTCCTCTTGCATTTCAAACTAGCCAACGCACTTTGTTAACATTGTTTCTGTGTCTGAATGACTAGTTGTCGGTTTTGGGGTAAGAACTGATCCTTTATAGTTATCAATTTCTGCTTCTCTGTTGTTGTTGTTGTTGTTGTTGTGTGTGTGTTTGTTATTTTAAAGACGATGACGGATTACAGAAACTAAAGGTCCCGTGTGGGTTCCGGGGCCCCATTGTATGAAAACAAGAGTAGACCCACTGCGCCCCCCCCCTCCCCGCCAACAAGCATATCGTAGGAGTCGTCTAAGTGGGTCCTTTCTTGGAAATCGGAGTACGTGAGCCCGAGTGGCAAGGAACAACTCATAGTCAGTAAAATGGATACACACGCAAAAATCAGGCCCTGGCACAAAGTCTAAATGGACGAATAACAGGGATCCCCCCCCCCCTTTCCCCAACCCCATCTCCCCCGAGCGTACAGCCTGTGAACAAAGAAGAAGAAGAAACTGAAGGTTAAACGAGGGACTGTTAATCAAAGACTGACTGATGTGTCTGCACTTTCATACAATTTCTCTCTGTCCCCAGACCTGACTGTAACGCTGAGACCCACACGGAAGGATGGATGTACTTCATCATGTTCAACAATATGTTCATCATCGCCTGTCACATGATGGCCATGTGGTTGACTGTGTCTCTAGCAGTGTTTCGCTACATCTTTGTCTGTAAACACCACTTGGCTTCATCTATGTGTTCTATGCAACGGGCTCGCCTGACCGTCTTCGTCGTGTTTGTTGTCACCGTTGTGTCCAATATACCTTACTTGTTCACCTACCAGGTGAAGAACAAGAACACAGATGCGAACAGACCGCCGTGCTACTGGGTAGATGCTTCGGACTTCGCTCTTCACCATCCGATGTATATATACTTCGTCCACTGGCTGTTTGGTGTAGTCATTAAGATCTTGCCTTGTATCTTACTTGCCTATCTATCCACACTTCTGATTGTCGCCATGCAGCAGGCAAAGAAGCGGCGGGCACGACTGCTGAATAACGTGTCCCGAGTAATCAACCACGACAGCTCTAGTGAGCACAACCGGACAACGATGATGTTGGTTGCCGTCGTTTTGTGTTTTATTGTCACTGAAATCCCTCAGGGTTTGGTCGCCTGGATCAGCGCGGTGGATCAGGATTTCTTCGATAATGTCTACATCCATCTGGGCGATCTGATGGATATTCTGGTGCTCGTCAACAGCGCGGTCAACTTCATCCTCTACTGCATCATGTCGCAGCAATTCCGCGACACTTTCACCAGCCTTTTCGTCTCCAAACACCTGCCGCCTTTCTTCCACCGCCACAAGCAACATCCTAACGGTGGTGAGTACAGCATGGTTAACACAGAAACCACACTCTTATAGAACTGCCGCCTTTCTTCCACCGCCACAAGCAACATCCTAACGGTGGTGAGTACAGCATGGTAAACACAGAAACCACACTCTTATAGAACTGCCGCCTTTCTTCCACCGCCACAAGCAACATCCTAACGGTGGTGAGTACAGCATGGTAAACACAGAAACCACACTCTTATAGAACTGCCGCCTTTTTTCCACCGCCACAAGCAACATCCTAACGGTGGCGAGTACAGCATGGTGGACACAGAAGCCACACTCTTATAGAAGTGCCGCCACGTTCTTCTTTGGAGTTGATTAACCACAGCATTCTCGGGCTTCTTACTGTTCCCAGATTTTGTCACCTGTGTATTGCTCATAAACCATGTAGTTACTAAGCTAGGAAAGTGTGGTTTAAGAAAAAACAAAATACTATTCTATAACTGAGCTCTGAAAGTGTGGATTAGAAAAAAATACTTAATAACTGAGCTATGGAAGTGTGAATTACGCGAAAAACTACTAAAGTATATTAAATGGCTCTTTGTAGCCTATTCGCCTCCTTGTTATGTACCAGTTATCATGGGATTATTATGTGAGCTGCAGACTTCTGTCAAGTATGAAATCTAGGCCATCGTCTGCTCTTTCTAGACATGGCACTCGACACAACTGAGAGATGACCACCGTTGGTAATAGAATACATATATATGTGTATAGGCTGAGTGTGGCATACATAAATATGTTAATGAACCGTGCTCACTGTAATCTCGAAGGAAATCGTATGCATCATAACTAGGTGTGATTTATACAGTAAAGGTTGTGACACAATGGCTGTCCAATGAACTACTAGTCTGAGGCTTAATCGTTGGATGGCTCTGATTGTCTTTAAACCAGCGCTGTTCTGAGGTTCACACATTCTTATTGAATGAGCAGTATGTAATTCGAGGATGCAAACGGGATACTCCAGTTTATCTTCCTGGATACGTGATCGTCTAGGCTTTCAGACGCCTGGGCTGTCTATCATATAAGTGCCAATTATCACCACGGCAGGTGAGAATCTGATTTGAAAGACAACAAAAATGATGAATACATAATACAAGACTAAAGACTATTAGTACGAATAAGAAGCGTTTCTTTCTTTTGTAAATCGATTTGGACGGAATGGCTACATGCCTTCGAGCCATTCATTATGCACGTTAAGCTAATAATTAACACTTCAAAAATATAACAAGCATTATATATGATGTTGTTTTCTCAGCTACCGACGGTTTAATAATTAGTTTTTCACATGTTGGTTGTTATGGGCAACAGTATAGATCAGTAGATTATTCTCTGTAAACCTAAGAGTTCTTCCATTTGCTGTGTTAGATATTAGAATATGCAGACTACTGGCCGAGTGTTTTTGTTGCTCACAGTTTACCACAAGTTTTTGTTGCTGTTAGTTTACCACAAGTTTTTGGTGCTGTTAGTTTACCACCCGTTTTTGTTGCTGTTAGTTTACCACATGTGATACTAACTGGTCTTTTCATTAGCTAGCTGTAAAATGGGATTGACGAGTGCTTGGGTTAATGGATGAGTGCCAGAATGAACAATCGCGTGCCGCAACCCTTTCGCGATCCTTTCAATACCAAATGCCTTTATTGAAAAATTCATCATGTCCTTAACATGTTGCGTTTGTCGGTGCTGGAAAGGGACAAGAAAAAATGAGGTTGTCATTTTTTAGCCTCACTGGAAAAGATTATTTTATACTATGGCTGGTATATAGAGTATAGCAGTGTTCTTGAACCCATGGCCCGCGGCCCACTGTCGGGCTGCAGAAAAGTTCCTGTGGCCCGCCAAAAGTTCACTCTGCGCAGTCGTGTAGCGAGGTGTGTTAGGTGGTCGTTCTCTTTCACTGTGTGGGATTAACACCTTAAGGGTTTCCTCTGTGTATGTGTGGGGGTGGGGGTGAGGGAGGGGGGGGGGAGCTAAAACCAAATAGGGAAATCGAATGGATATTACTGCAGCGGTTTTTTTTTAATCAGAAACAACGCTCCAGCCAAAAAGATCATGTTATCACCAAACAGCAGCAAATGTCAAATCAGCTGAAAACTGCAAATTTTGTGACATGGGGTTTGACAGATAAACTTTCATCTAAATTTGCTTTTATGTCTGTGTTTGCTCAACTGTCAGGTGGGCCGTGAAACATTTTCCACGTTTTGACGGGCCGTGGAGGTAAACAAAGGTCGAGGAGTACTGCTCTATTTGACTCGAATAGGGGGGTTCAAATGAGACTGTCGGTCACATTAGAATTGATTTGTTTGGTAAATTCAATGTTTTACGGCTCCAAAGGTTCCCCATCTCTGGTTTGGCATTAAGGTTGCAATCGATTCAGGGCTAGACAGGACAATTATTATTATTATTTATTTTGTCTTTGGGATGTAAAGTGTTAAAATTTATATATCTTAATCCACCAAATTTGAGCTCTGGGTTTCCTGCTTCGATTCTCCCCAAAGTTCTTTCAATATAACCATTAGAAATTTCGGAGATGAACATCTTAGCTCAGTACACTGAACTTGAAAGCACCAGTTTATTTTTCTGGACTATTCTCCAGTCAACTTGAGGTATCTCTATTATCTCATCTACCATTGACCCATCAATTCCTCGTGCCCTTAATAGGTGGATCCACAGATGGGTCGATCCAGGTCTGCGTATAGATTGGTCAACAATAGATCGAATCAATAATAGATGGAATCAATAATAGATCGATCCAATCATAGATCAATCTTTTTTCCAGATCGATCGAGTTTTATATATAAATGTATCCCCTTAAAGGTCATTTATCTTATAACATTTGCCGTCTTTCACTATTGGTACCAATTTGTGCGGAGGCACAAACAACATCGCGGTCTGGGGAGAATGGTGCAGCCAGGGGTGACCTGGGGATCCGGCCGACGCTCAACACTCAGATGAAGGGCGAGAAGACATACTACGATACTGCTACTCTACTATCGGAAATAGAACTTGCTGTTGATGATGTAACAGAGTGTTTGTTTGAATGTCCTGTGTGTTCGGTGTCCGCTCTTAAGTCGTAACTGATAGCTCATATTTGTAGGATGTCCCTGTTTCAGCTAAAAATATGGTCACTTTACAGAAAAGACAACGCCCTTCTCTTGCTCTTCCTTCCCTCTCTTTACCTGTCTGTCTTTTTCTGCCTCTTTTTGCCTGCCTCTCTTTTCCTGCCTGTCTTTCTCTACCTTTTTTTCCCTGCCTCTCTTTCCCTGACTGTTTTTCCCTGCCTCTTCTTCCCTGTCTCTCTTTCCCTGCCTGTCTTTTCCTGCTTGTCTTTTTCTGCCTTTCTTTCCCTGCCTCTTTTTCCCTGCCTCTTTTTCCCTGCCTCTTTTTCCCTGCCTCTTTTTCCCTGCCTTCCTTTCCCTGCCTCTTTTTCCCTGCCCCTTTTAGCCTGCCTCTCTTTCCCTGCTTGTCTTTCCCTGCTTGTCTTTCCCTGCTTGTCTTTTTCCCTATTTCTCTTTCCTTGCTTTTCTTTTCCTGCCTGTCTTTCCTGCCTGTCTTACCTTTCATCTCTTTCCTTGCTCTTTTCCTGCCTCTCTTTCCTTGCCTCTCTTTCCCTGCCTCTCTTTCCCTGCCTCTCTTTCCCTGCCTGTCTTTCCCTGCCTCTCTTTCCCTGCCTGTCTTTCCCTGCCTTTCTTTCCCTGCCTCTCTTTCCCTTTACTACTTACATCCTGCGGGAAGTTTTTATTTTTGTTTTGAAACCTCTTTCCACGCCTTCATGCGACTGGCATAGAGGGCTAGAGGTTTATTTCCTTTGTTTTGTTATTTGTATTCTCTTTGTATCTTCCACGTCTTCTGACTTTGGTGATCTTGACTATCCACAGCATTCTTCCCCTATATTGCCAATATTTTCTGATTTGTATGACTATGCCATGGTACCAGACAGTTAGGGTAACCATACGTCCGGTGTTTGACCGAGAAAGTCCCAGTTTGACCGAGTCAGCCCCAGTTTGACCGAGACAGTCCTAGTTTGACCGACACAGTCCCGGTTTTGACCGAGAAAGTCCCGGTTTGACCGAGACAGCCCCAGTTTGACCGAGACAGTCCCGGTTTTACCGAGACAGTCCCGGTTTTACCGAGACAGTCCCAGTTTGACTGAGTCAGCCTCAGTTTGACCGAGACAGTCCCAGTTCGACCGATACAGTCCCGTTTTTGAGGTGGGCCCCAGACCTCCCGTCGGTTCGCCTAAATAATGCCAATTGTCCCGTTTCACACTAATCTATAAATCATCTAGAGATAGAACATGCACCTGTAGTAATCTGTGCAGACCCTATTACATTTCACACTGTTAGATAATGTTAATACCTGAAATGTCTTGACTGGTATTTTCATTACAGCTTGAGTGTGTGTGTATGTGTGTGTGTGTGTGTGTGTGTGTTTGTGTGTGTGTTTGTGTGTGTGCGTGCGTGCGTGCGTGCGTGTGTGTTTTATAGTGCAATTGAAGATCTTGATTGTTTCGTCTAATTTTTGATTACAATAGATCGATTTTTTAATTAATACCATTGGCGAGCGAGCAATTATTCCTTTCAACCCGCAATTTAGAAAATAAGGTCATTTCTGGGTGAAAAAGAGGGAGAAGGGGCTGTTAAACTGGTTTGCTTGGGATGTGGGATGTCCCGTTTTCAGCTCAAGCTATGGTCACTTTAGAGAAAAGACAACGTTCTCTCTCTTGATCTTTCCTCCCTCTCTTTCCCTGCTTCTCTTCCCCTGCAATTTTACATTGTCACTTCGTTCTCTACTGTCTACTGCTAACTGCCAGCGTTTAGATTTTTGTTTAATTGTTAAAGGTCCCTTTCTCCACGTCTCCGGGTGTATTGGGAACAAAGAGGATCGACCTATATTTTATAGACCCATCAGCACTCAGTGGGTGATGTGGTCAACGTCACGCCGGGCGCTTTTACTTCCCAAGACTATACCTGGTACCCACTCAAGGCTAGGTCGACTTGGGAGCCAAGGTCATTGATGAAAAATGTCCGACTCGG